AGGGTTTAGGGTTCAGGGTTCAGTAATTTAGGGTTCAAGGTTTAGTAATTTCGGGTTTAGGGTTTAGGGTTTAGGCGGCCATAGAGGAGCTTGCCAAACGGCTGCAGTTAGCAGAGATGGCGCACACGAAGCAGGACAGGTGTAAAAGGGTTGAGGCTTGAGGGTATGGGGATTCGGGGTTAGTGGGCTTACTCGAGTGCTTGTGAGGCTCACTGTAGGAGCTACCGTGCGGACGATACCATAATATACCCCAAACCCTGAATATAGTTGTGCCTATCCATTTGCCCCCATGGGCACCGAAACCTCATCCGTAAGCCCCTACCGAAGGCATGCCTAACCTTAAACCCTAAGCCCACCCTAAACTTTAAACCCTAAACCTTTAAACCCCTAAACCCTAAACTTCCTAAACCCCTAAACCCCTATACCTCCAAACCCTAAACCCTAAACTTCCTAAACCCCTAAACCGCCATACTATACCTCTAAACCCTAAACCCTAAACCCTAGACTTCCTAAACCCCTAAACCCCTATACTGTACCTCTAAACCCTAAACCCGAACTCCCTAAACCCGTCACCGGGCATAGGCTTCCTTGGCGACGGCGTCGGGTCCGAGTCTTCGGACGGAGTCTGCTGTTTCTATAAGTGGGACTTTCTGAAAATCCTAAACCCTAAACCCTAAACCCTAAACCCTAAACCCTTCTTATTTTGGGTCCTTATAATAAGGATCCTACTATTTAAGGTACTTTTTTAGGGTCCCCTATTTTCGGAAACCCCTCTGTTTTAGAAAGTAGAGCTTAGAAACAGCCCTATAGGGTTTAGGGTTTAGGGTTTAGGGCTTTGGGTTTAGGGCTTAGGGTTTAGGGTTTAGGGCTTAGGGTTTAGGGTTTAGGGTTTGGGGTTTAAGGTTTAGGGTTTAGACCCTAAACCCTCTAAGCCCTAAGCGCGAAACGCTGAACTTCCGAGTTCCTGATGAAGCCCTAAAACTTAGGGTTTAGGGGTTGGGGTTTAGGGTTTAGGGTTTAGGGTTTAGGGTTCAGACCCCTAATCGCCTTAACCCCGGCCACACCGCCAGAAGACCACGATAGAAAAGGATCCCTGGCGCTGACAAGCATGTATAGATAGATATATATATATATATAGACATACATACATACATACATACATACGTACGTACGTACATACATGCATACATACATACATACATACATACATATATATATATATGTATACATGTGCATGCATACATATAGTACGATCATTATACTGTTATATACATATACAACCCTACGTAGACTGTAAGTAGCACTTTATACAAACTCCACAGAACTTCCAAACCTAAACGCTAAATTCTGCAAATCACGTTATTCCCAGGGAGAAAACTCTACATTCTAAACCGTAAACCCCTAACAGAGAAAAACCCCTAAACCCTAAACCCCTAACAGAGAAACTCAACAAAGCAGAGAGAGTCAGGTTGCCCTGTCGGAACGCCTGGGCCGCATCGTAAGCCATGGCCACTTGCTGCATCTGCAGGGGTCCTTCCAGGGCTCCAAAAACCCTTAATTAAGGAATCTACCTTAAATCATATTAGGGATCCTACTACAATTTAAGGAATATTCTTTAATTAAGGAGTATTGGAGTCTCTGGGTTCCTTCAAGGGCTCTTTTTAAGGGGTTTTTGCAAGGGCTCCTTCACAGGATCCCTACTAAAAGGTGTGCTCGAATTGTCTCCGCCTTGAGGGTTCAGGGTTTGGGGGTCTTTGGTTTAGGGTTTAGGGTTTAGGGTCTTTGGTTTTTGGTTTGATGGGTTTAGGGCTTGAGAGGTTTAGGGTTTGGGGTAAGCCGTAGACTCCCGACCCTTCAGGGAACCTTAAAACCTAAACTCCTGCAGGCCCAGAACCCTCACGGGCTCTACAAGGATTTTTGGATTTGGGTGGTTTTAACGGGAGCCCGATCAAGCTTAAACCCTTTTCTGCATTTGTCCTAAACCTGCAAAAAGAGGTTTAGGCCTGACAAGCCTTACAAAATACAAGTTAGAGTACCGTGGAAGGCACGCGCCAGTATTATGACCCCCAAAACTGAGGCCACAAAGTCTCAAAGCTAAAGTCATGACACAAGCCTCCAGTCTCACGTGCTGAGCTTCCCTATGTACCGGCCACGGTCGCGGCAAGAACTTTCAATGCACCCTGCTTCTCGAGCTTCCTCCAATACCCTACGCAATGGGAATGTACTTCCCGCCGAAGTATTTACTTCGAGCGGACCTGGTGTTTTCGCATCTGGCAAACATAAAACTGACAAGACCAGACACCTCTCCACCCCAAAACAGGTTTCTCAGCCATGACACTGAACCCTATTCCGTGCTAAACTTAAAACAAGTACGTAAAGCCTGATGGGAAAAAGTTGCAGCAACAAAGCACTATATTCTATACACACCTCATACCGTTATACCCTAGATCCTAAACCCTATGTGACCCTAAATCCCAGAGACCCCAAACACCAAAAAGCCCTAAACCCCAAACCGAAAAGCCCCTAAAGCCTTGAGCTGTGAGGCGATGTGCTCCTTACAACACCGGGAGACGTCAAGTCACTTCAGCTCCGCTTCCTCGAGCAGCTCCTGGTCCTAGTCCTTGGAACTAGCCCAGAGACTCCAATAATATCCCTTAATTAAGGAATACTCCGTAAATTATAGTAGGATCCTTAACATGATTTAAAAGGTATGTTCCTTAATAAAGGGCTTTTTGAAGTCTCTGAGAGGGTTGATGATATAAGTCCTGCATGACCGTAAGGACCCTAAAGAATGGGAATTATGGTCTATTCCTGAATTATGGTACATTCCTTATGGTGGGTAATGCATTATTTATATCATCAAGAGTCGGTTTACCAGTAGTACTCGTTTGCACGTTTTTTTTTGCTTGGGGCCCCTTCTATTGACACCGAATACTTAGGAAAAAGATGAAAAGATTAAGGGGCTCCTGGGGAGCCTGGGTTTAGGGTTTAAGGTTTAGGGTTTAGGGTTTAGGGTTTAGGGTTTAGGGTTTAGGGTTTTGGTTTAGGGTTTAGGGTTTAGGGTTTAGGGTTTAGGGTTTAGGGTGGACCTAAGGAGAGGTTTTGGGGTTTCGGACTTGGGAATTTGGGATGTAGGGCTATGGGGTTTATGGTTCAGAGAGGCTTTCGGCTTAAGGGCTTTGGGTCTGGGGCTTAGGGTTTTTTGGGCTTTAAAGTTCGAAGTTCGTACAGTCCATCGAGCTGGTGGGTTTAGGTTGGTTGGTTTAGGGTTTAGGGTTTAGGGCTCGGGGCTTTGGGTCAGGGCTTAAATAGGCCGTAGAGTGTAGACAGGGGCTGTGGAGGTTCGGGGGAAGTTGGCTGCTGGATTTCGCGTCTAGGGCAAGGCTTTCCGTTTCAACCATATGTTCCGATCTTCTTCTTAGGGGCTGAGTAGGTAACCTTTAACCTTTTGGGGCTTATATAATCTTAGCATAATTCAAACGGTTAACCCTAAACCCTAAACCCTAAACCCTAAACCCTAAACCCTAAACCGGTTAACCTTTTTTGGGCTAGGACACTCAGCCCCTAAGTCTTCGTTCTCATGTTGAGCTACTTTGGGGGGGTCTTCAACTTGCTTAAACCTACAGCTCGCAACAGGGAAGCCCAGAAACCACGAATCTTGGAACAGAAAATGTCCGTACCCTAGACCACGCATCACTTTGTTGGTGGTTCGTTTCCATCATGCCGGCGTCCTAAACCCTAACACCCTAAAACCCTAAAGCCCTAAAACCCTAAACCCTAAACCCTATATAATCCTTAATCCTATTCATTGCCTTGGGCTGGACTAGTCCCGAAGGAACTGAGGCGGGTTTAGGGCTTTAGGGCTTTAGGGTTTCAGGGTTCAGGATGTAGGGCTGCATACGTAGCAACGGGGCACCTTGCCGGTTGGAAGCTCTTGCACAAAGCCTTAAACCCCAAAGGATAGCTGCTACCGGTCAAGGATGCCGGAATCAATTCAGAAAGTTAGAACGGCATGCTGCCAAGCGCTTTGTCTCTGTCGTTTCAGTTACCTGGCATGCAACAGGCCTAAGCCCAATGTACCTTGTTTTTATCAGACTAGCTGGCCAGAGACTCCAATATTCCTTAATTAAGGAATATTCCTTAAATTACAGTAGGATCCCTAATATGATTTAAGGCATATTCCTTAATTAAGGGTTTGTGGAGTCTCTGAGGGTTTGTACCCCAAACAGCCGGTATGCTGGTTTTCCGCAGGTTGGATCTCGCCAATGACCGCCAAGCACGACGAAACACAACGCAGATGAGGCGCTTGCATTGCATGCGGCGTCAGGCCTTCAACCCGAAACTGCTGAACTTTTAAACTCTACACTTCGAACCCTAACTGAACCCTAAACCCGACCCCCCCCCCCTTTCAGCTTAATTCTAAAATTAAAGACCTTAGACTAGAGACCATAAGCCCCGATCTCCCGAGCAGCACGGACTTTCCTGATTTTGTCTCAGTGGGTTTAGGGTTTAGGGTCCCGGAGCAACTTTATGCCGTCTTCTGATAGCGTGCTGACATTTTCGGGCCTCGGTTGAATAACACAGGAAAACCTTGAACTCTGAAACCCTGAACCCCACGAAGCACGTGCATGATGGAACCCTCAACAAGAACTCGAAGCAAGTGTGTATGAGACTATCGGCGCGAGGCTGAGTAGAGCGTTTATCGGGTGTTACCTGAACTGTGGAGCAACCCACTGGGCCAGGACTTTGCGGAGTGCCGTGTTTCGCGTCGCAAGCGTTGAAACCCTTGAAAGTGGACAGACAACGAAGCATTTCTTGGTTGAGGGGTGTGCTGGGGTCTGTGGGAAGCCCCACCGTTTGTATGCATGGTTTCGCATAAAATGCTGTTGTCATCCGGTAAGAGGATAGCACGAAATTAAAGCAATGACAGTATACGTATATATATATATATATATATAGTGCAAGAATGTATGCACATACAAACTATGTTCCTGCATATATGTGCATATATTCATATACACGCCAAACGTGTATATGCATACGTATACATATATATATATATATACTTATATATGCAATGCTAAATCTGCAGTCACACCGTCAGGCGCGAGTGTGTGCAGATGGGCCGTGCCTTGCAGCTGCTCAAGGATGGCATTTGCATCTGGGTTGTCTGAAGTCTTTTAAGGGAGACCGATGCAGTGTGTATATGTATTAATTTGTTCGTTTACTATTCTATGCCTGCTACTTACTTATACTCATATACTCATACATTCTTAGGTCTTAGGCATTTGGGCAAAACCCTAAACCCTAAACCCTAAACCCCAAACCCTAAACCCTAAACCCCTAAACCCTAAACCCTAAACCCTTCAGGCTATGTTGAGCCTTAGGGTTGCCAAGCCTGGGTCCCTAACAGGTAAGGATTGCTTAGCCTGTCCGTAGTTCCTGTGTTTGGCGCGTGGACGACGGAGCTAGCATCTTTGCTCGGGATTGTGCTGCGGTTTTGAGTGTAGGGCTTATAGTTCTGGCGCTTAGGCACTAAGTGAGCTTAAAGAGCGGCAGAGGGTTCGGGATTTGATCGTGCTTCTTCTTCGGTCTCACGCGGTAGCTGAGGCATGATCGACGAGGTCGACCTCGCGCCTCCTCGAAGTCTTCTTTTGGGATTTGGGAGTCTCAGAAAATAAGGGGTACCTTATTTTGGGGTCCTTATAATAGGGATCCTATTATTTAGGGTACTATATTTGGGTCCCCTATTTTCGGAAACCCCCATTTGTGGGTTCAGAGTTTAGGGATGATTGCAGTTCGGGGCTTCAGAGTTTCGAGCTGCTTGGGCGGGCCAGCGGCACAGGAGTAGAGTCTAAGTGGAGCGTCAACCATGTTGGGTGTTATGGAGTTTAGGATTTAGGCCCGAAACCCGAAACCCTAAACCCCAAACCCTAAACCCTGAACCACAAAAAGCCCCCCCAGAAATTCTCGTAGATCGGTGCAATCTCACAACGCAGGTGTCCTTGCCTCCATGGGATTTAGAGAGGCAGTTGTCAGGGGCATCTTTATGGGCTGCTGTAAGGGCAATATGGGAGTTTCCGAATATAAGGGGTACCTTATTTTGGGGTCCCTATAATAAGGATCCTATTATTTAGGGTACTATATTAGGGTCCCCTATTCTCGGAAACCCCCATATAAGTCAGGGTTTAGGGTTTAGGGTTTTTATGGCAGAGTCTGGGTTCAAAAAAAGTATTGTAATATAGACAAGACCTATAAAGAAATTACCAATACTTTTTTGTTTTTTGTTGGGGGCGGTCCTTATTATAACTATAGTATAATCTAGCCCAAAACCTTATTCGAGTTAATAAGGCCCCTGCATTACTGGATTGGTGCGTCCTTTGGACCCTCAGCGTAAGCCTTATAGGCACTGAATCCTGCAGTAGATGCCAAAAATAAAAATTTCAAAACCCAATAGCTTCAATCCTTAAGAGTCATGTATAGGGTAACCCCAGCACTAATTGTCCTTAATACAGTTTCCAACTTTTTGGGGTTTACTATAAACCCTAAACCGTGTCAATAGGCTGCTGCGTCTTAGATGCACGGCATCTTCGTGCTTAGAGACCTTGACATTTTTACCTCCATGGTAGAGACGACTGCAGGTGAAGGTTGCCCACTGGCAGAAGTTGGGGGGTATATAAGGACTCAGGTTTTAGGTCTCAAGACTCAGCTAGGCTAGGTTTTTAAGATCTTGAGAGTTGTTCGAGTTTCTGGTTCTTCGGGCTTTGGTGCACCATGACCTCAGCAGGTAGGGTGTAGGGTTTAGGGTGGGAGCATCAACTTCAGATCGAAAAGCCGCAAGCAGCTCTAAAATTTCAGGGATTGAATCAAAGGGCCTGGGAACAGATCCGGAACTGTCCCAGAAGAGCCAATGCGGGTCTAAATTGAACTTGGTAACACTGCGGAACCGTGAAACCAGACTTGCAAACACCGCAACGTTTCCTGAACCCTAAACCCCTAAACCCTAAACCCCAGAACCCCTAAACCCTAAAACCCTAAACCGCTCAACCCTGAAACAGCTAAACCCTAAACCCCGATTCCGGCTTCCGAGGTGCTTCACCCACTGCGGTCGGAACTGAACTTTCCAATTGGCCCCAAGAACCTCATCGAGGTCCTGCTGGGGCTCATGGGGTTCAGGGTTAGGGTTTAGGGTTTAGGGTTTAGGGGTTTAGGGTTTAGGGTTTCAGGGTTAATAATGTAGGGGCCTTAATAATTACCTATACTATTTTGGGGGTTCCTTATTCTGAATTTAGTATAACAAATCCCAAACCCGATTCGAGTTATTATGGCCTACTGGTGGTTATTCGGGTTTAGGGTTTTTGTTGAGTGGTCTTGCAAGGGTTTGGAGTGAGGTGATGGGCTTTGTAGGTCACACCAGGGTTTTATAGGGTCTTTCATGCTTTCTAGTTCTAGGGGTTTACATATAGGGGTTTCGGGGCTGAGGGTTGAGGGTCTTAGGTGCTTTAGGGGATGTGTTAGGTGCTACTTTTATACGGGGTGTAGCATAGGCTTCAGGGTTTGAGGAGCGTTGCGAAGCGACAGCGCATTGAGCTTGCGGGCTTGGGGTTTGGGTTTAGGGTTTAGGGGTTGGAATTCAGGCTAGCGCTTCCTGATACATATATATATATATATATTTATTTGTATCATCCACAACCTTACTCTCTGAGAGCATTCACACAAATCCTGAAGATACAAGCCCTAAATCCCCCACAAAAGGAGAAGAACCCACACACTCCTATCAGCTTCCACTGCAATCAGGCTTACAGCAACCCAGGGGTTCCTGAAACAAGGCATCGCAATATGAACCCTGAGTACTACTGTTGATGATATGGGAGTTTCCGAAAATTAAGGTACCTTACTTTGATCCTACTATTTGGGGTACTATATTAGGGTCCCCTATTTTCGGAAACCCCCATATAAATCCTGCATTACCTTAAGGACCCTAAACTATGGGAATTATGGCGTAGGATCCACGTCATAAGGACCTCCCAAAAGGGAACCCACATGCAAAGCACAACTCTACAACCCTGTTTCTCAAGCTCCCTCAGCCCCCTACATTCAACATGCCAAACCCTGAACCCCAAATCCCTAAGTCAGAACCCAAACTTTGAGAATAAAGCCATGCTTAACATCACGCTTGACAACCGCAAACCCCACAAGAGCTTGAACCCGTACTAAACCCTTCAAAAACCCTTTAACGCCTTAAAGCCCTAATTAGAGCGTTGTTGTTTAAGAACCCCGCTTAGGAACGTTGAAAACACCCCTAAACCCTAAACCCTAAACCCAAAGTAAAGAGCCTGTCCCAAACCCGGCTGTCAGCACGCACCGGATCGCTGGCGTGCAGTGCTCCATCTCCTCGATGGTCCGGCTCTGAGCATTCTTTCCTTTGATTTTAGGGTTTAGGGTTTAGGGGTCGAGTTGGGATTCCTTTGAATTAGGGTCGAGGGTTTAGGGGTCCAGCAGTTTAGGCTTTAGGGATTTAGGTTCGCAAAAAAAACTCCGGGCGAAGTGGAAAGCCTGTTGCAAAAAGGGATTTAGGTTCGAGGGTTTCGCGATTGCCAGGGTTTCCTGAGCCTGTTTGCTTAGGCATGGTGGAGCCTTCCTCTTTCAGAAAGGGGGGGGCTTTTAGGGTTAGGGTTTAGGGTTTAGGGTTTAGGGTTCGGGGGGGGCATGGGGCTTCGTTGGTGTCATTGCTTTTGGGTTTTGCAGGGCTTTGCTGAGGGCTTAGAGACTTAGACGGGTGCTCTTGCTTTGTATAAGGTGGTTCTGCTTGTTTTTCGATTTCACACTATCTGTTTTTTGTTTTGAGCTTGGGTGTAGTGTTGCAGGTGAACCCTAAACCCTAAACTTTAAACTCTAATCCCTAAGCCCTAAACTGTACACTCTAAACCCTCAACCCTAAACTTTAAACTCTAAACCCTGAACCCTAAACCAGTTCTGGGCTCGAGTCCGAGTGTTCCAATGCTGGGGTTGGCCGGTTGGCCGTTGGGGCTTGGAGTTCAGCATTCCCGGGCTTCTGTGGAAGGTTTTGGGGGTTTCAAGTGGGTTTGGTGTTAAGGGTTTAGGGGTTAGGGCTTGTTAGGGTTTTCGGGTTTGGGCTGGCTGGCACCTCAGTCCGTGCTGAAAAAGGGTTTGAGGTGTCATTGACCCCCAACCAACTACCCTAAAGCCAAAGTCACAAAGCCACAAGAACAAAACTCAAAAGCCTAGAACACCAAAACCCTGCAGCATAATTCTACATTTAGGGTCTGTCGACAGTCTCAACACTATAAACCCACTGAAATCTAAAGCGCTACACCCTCAAGGCTCTCGTTTCACACTCGAAGCTTCCTTACAAGAGCCCAAACCCTGCAAGGCACCTAGCAAGAGGCGCCATGTGGGTCCTTATAGACTCTTAGGCTTGAGGGTGTTATGTAGGGTTTTGAAAAGCGCACAGAAGCAAGCATGAATAACTTCCCAAAGTGGTTTGGGGAGGGTATAGTACACCACAGTTTGCATAGGGACTTGCAGGGGGCCCTACGCAAGCATCGATTTTTTTTTGGGGGGTTTGGGGCTCCCGACTTTGCCTCTTTGGGCTTCGGGCTTCGGGCTTCGGGCTAAATTTTGTCTTCTCTGCTTTGGCGGCCCTAGTATTCATGGAGTTCTGCTTACGGCTTCAGGGGTTCAAGGTTTCTGGCGTCGAGTTGGGTCCCGACGTCCTGTGCAATACTATAGGGGCCTTAATAATTACCTATACTATTTTTTGGGGGGGTTCTTTATTGTAAGTATACTACAACTAATGATATGTAGGGGCCTTAATAATTAGAATAGGGTTTTGGGGCTTCCTCATTATAAGTATAGTATAATATACCCCCCAAACCCGATTCTAATTATCAAGGCCCCTATATTACAAGGGTTTGTGCGACGAGAAGGCGCAGCAGCCGCAGGCGCTCGTTAGGGGGTTTAGGGGTTTTGGGGTTCAGGGGTTTAGGGTTTAGGGTTTAGGGGTGTAGGGGCTCAGGGTTTAGGCAGCAGAAGAGGCAGCTGGAGGAGCGAGTCGAGCAGCAAGACTCGCAGCTGGAGGCGCAGTCACGGTGCAGCAAGCAAAAAATGATCCAGTTACACTGCCCCCTCCCTTTGCAGACATGCAGCGCAGCGTTCGTCAGGACAACCTGCCGTTACGAGTCAGGAATGACATGTGAGCTAAGGTCTACAGCGGCTTGCCTCATCAGACATCTACTAAATCCCTATCCTTCAATATGAATTAACTTGATGGAAAGCCACTACTCGTTATGATACAGTGTGCCGGCAGCGCGTAGACCCGGATGCAAAACATGTTCCATCTAATACAAGGCCCGAAGGTAGGTTTAGGATTTAGGGGTTTAGGTTTTGGGGTTTTGAGGATTTGTGAAATGCCTCCTAGGCCCCAAGCCAATCAGTCATGCTACAACCCCCTGAACCTTCAACTCCTCAGCCCTGGCTTTCCGGTTTTGGGACTCAAAGGGTTTCAGGAGTTGTTTAGGGTTTTGGGTTTTGGGTTTAGGGTTTAGGGTTTAGGGTTTAGGGGTTTACGTACTTGAGGTTCCGAGGCGCTGGGCATGGGTTAAGGTTCCGGGACATGCTTGACCATTCTTGGGCCAGGGGGCTCAGCAACTAGATTCGATGCTTCAACCTCACTAAATTACTAAAGATGCCCTTCTTTCGAAGCCCTCGGTCACACCCTGCTTTAGGTACGGTGCGGGTTTGGGGACTCATAGGGTTGAGGGTTTTCGGGGTTTGGCACTTCCGGTTGAGGCCTAAACCGGATACACTGGCGGCAGTCTTTGAGTGTAACTCCGCGGGTGAGCTCTGCTGGACAAAAGGGTGCTCCTGCATCTTGAAGCGAATGGCAGCTAACCCGAAAAATCCCTGAACCCTAGACCGGCAACCCACAACCCTAAAGCCCACTTGTCACAAAAGGGAGTAAGGCGCTCTCAACTAAAAACAACTTAGAAGCAAACTCGTGCCCAGTAATAGTAGGAAAGACACTGTTAGATATGAATCGCACTGGTTGTAGTTATGTAAGTCATTATCTTGGTGGCAATTTGGGAAACTTTAAAATTTCCCTGATGGTTTCTAAACAGGTACCTATTCATAAATACTTTTCAGGGCCTCCTAACTACAACCCAGTTATAGTCTTATAGTCCTTGTCAATGCAAATGGTAGTCAAGGAAACCCCTAAACCCTAAGCCCTAAGCCCTAAACCCTAAACCCTAAACCCTAAACCCTAAACCCTAAACCGCTCCGCAAGGGCCTCGGAACTTAAAAAGAAGCTTCCTAGGCTTCTTCAGTGTGGAGAAGGGCCGTGTCCCGCCGCACCTCAAGGCCCTAAACCGGTTAATACAGGGGCATAGATAATTACTAGTACTATTTGGGGAATTCCTAACTACCTAAATACATATAATTATAGTAGAGTATACCCCAAACCCTTTTCTAATCACGGAAAAGTTAAGGCTTTTTCTGTGTAGAGCTTTAGCGAGGCTGTCAGGGTTCAGGGCTTAGGGGTCTTGTGGTTGTGAGTTCGAGTTCATGCTGGCGGGTTCGGCTTAGGGTTTAGGTTTGGCTGGTGGAGGGATTTTGAGGTTCGCACGGAATGTTGATTTGTCATGGGCAGTCGGGTTGTGCTTCTAGGGGCAGTGGCTTTACTCGATTCCCTTCTGTTTGTTGCTTGAGTACCCGTCCACACTGAACAGTTTGTTTCCTAAACTGCTCCACCGTAAACTTTGTAACCCGAAGCTCTGTTCAACGTAATTAACGTAAGAGCATGAGAATCGTAAGAGTGAATAAGGGTACTGCAGGATTCTACAAGGGCTTTGAACCCATGCAGCCCTTAGCACTATTTGTCTCTTCTTCCCGGCAAAGAGTTTTCTCGAGCCATCGTTGCAGGATTCGCTACGCGCAAAAGAGTGACTTGCCTGCATTTGCCTTTTTGAAGGTTTTTAGGTGTCTCCTCCAAAGGGTCTGAAACCCTAAACTCTAAACCCTAAACCCAGACCCGCCAACCCAAAACCTTCCGGACTCTTGCTAGGGTCGGGGTCTCAGAGATCCGTGTTTTGAGGCCCCCCAGAAGCATCAGGACGCTCCCAGAGACTCCAATATCCCTTAATTAAGGAGTATACCTTACATCATTTTAAGGATCCTACTATAATTCAAGGAATATCCCTTAATTAAGGAATATACCTTAAATCATTTTAAGGATCCTACTATAAGTTAAGGAACATCCCTTAATTAAGGGATGTTGGAGTCTTTGGGCTTGCGGTTGTCGGGCTATGCCAGATCTAGGTTGGTTTTGCTGGGAGGTTTAGGGTTGAGGGTTTGGGGTTTAGGGTTTAGGGTTGAGGGTTTAGGGTTTAGGGTCTAGGGTTTAGGGTTCAGGGTGGGAGCTTGCTACATTAAGCTAGGATCCCGGAGAGCAAGAACGAACCGCGCTGAGAAGATGGGAAATGCCTGGGTTCAGGGATAGGCGGTCTTGCTTAAGGAAGTTTGCGAACCCAGAGACTCCAATATCCCTTCAGTAAGGAATATTCCCTACATTATAGTAGGATCCTGAATATGATTTAAGGTATATTCCTTAATTAAATGATATAAACCATAATAAGGATCCTACCATAATTTAAAGTATATTCCTTAATAAAGGGATGTTGGAGTCTCTGGGAAGGCTGATCTCGTTGTTGGAAAGCTCCTTCCCCGCACCCTGAGCCGAAAACTCCTGCCATCAGCCTCCCGATTTTGCGGGGTTTTCGGCTTGGCCGCGGCGGCTCCAAATCCTTAGCCAAAACCCTAGAACCGGAACCCTAAACCCTAAACCCAAAACCCTAGAACCTGAACCATAGAAAGCTACATACAGAGGTTTTGGCAGCTCGGGGTTTCGGATACATAATAGGAGGGTTGTGAGTACCCATATCAAGCCCCTAAACCCTACACCCTAAGCTATAGAGCCCATTTGTTCTGACGTAAGGCACGTCTGTAGTTCTCTAAATTCGGGTCCCTTGTTTAGGTCCCCAAATATTGTACGGCACCCTTACACAAAAAGGACCCTCAAGTTAGAAAACCACCCACAACCCTAAACCCTAGACCCTAAACCCTAAGCCTTAAACCCTAAACCCTAAACCCTAAACCCTAAACCCTAAACCCTAAACCCTAAACCCTAAACCCTAACAGGGACCCTCATTTAGAGAACTCCCCACATGCTTGGTATTTGACGGAAGCTCTCGGGCTGAACCGGGGGTTCGGGTTTCACGGGCTCGTGTGGGAGTTTCAGACAACGAGGAGACTAGGGTTTAGGGTTTAGGGTTTAGGGTTTTGGGTTTTGGGTTTTGGGTTTTAGGGTTTAGGGTTTAGGGTTTAGGGTCTTTCAAAACTAGGGTCCCCAGTGGTACCCTTTTGCAGTTTTTCTTTTTGGGTTACCTTAATAAAACCAAATAGTAGGAACAAGGGTACCCTTATTATTCAGGGGCAACTGGGGAACCTAGCAAAAACTACGAGGAGTGGTAGGATAAAGCTATAAATTAGGTACACCAAAATTTGAGCGGTTCTCCTTTCAGAGCTGTGCATGATCTAATTTAGCGTCTTGTGTTTATGGGGTGTCACAGGCTGTTTCGGGCTTTTGGGCTCGGCGCTTCGGGAGGGGTTTCGGTGATTCTCGAGAGCCCAGTTTACCTCGCAATGCGAAGATGCGCCTTAAGTTATTATGGAGAACCCTGAACCCTAAACCCTAAACACCTAAACCCTAAACCCTAAACCCTAAACCCTAAACACTAAACACCTAAACCCTAAACCTCTGAGCCGCTCTAAACCCTTAACGATAAACCCTCTTAATAGGGTTTAGGGTTTAGGGTTTAGGGTTTAGGGTTTATAAGCCTGGTTCTTGCTTATGCAGCTCTCCGGGAAGACTCGACGCGAAACACAGTTTCCCAGGTTCGTAACGAAAGCTTTTGTGTGTTTAGGGGGTTTAGGGTTCAGGGCATTTAAGGTTTTAGGCTTAGGGTGGGGTTTAGGGTTTCCCGAGGTTGGGATTTCGGGTTTGCCTAGCTCAATGTTGCGAGGCATGGGAAGTAAGGGCAGCACTCGAGTCCCTTGTGAAAAA